ATCCAACCCCCTGCTGAAAGCAGGACCAATCCCCAACTAAATCATCCCAGCCAGGGCTTTGTCAAGCCTGACCTTAAAAACCTCTAAGGAAGGAGATTCCACCACCTCCCTAGGTAACCCATTCCAGTGCTTCACCACCCTCCTAGTGAAAAAGATTTTTCTAATATCCAACCTAAACCTCCCCCACTGCAACTTGAGACCATTACTCCTTGTTCTGTCATCTGGTACCACTGAGAACAGTCTAGATCCATCCTCTTTGGAACCCGCTTTCAGGTAGTTGAAAGCAGCTATCAAATCCCCCCTCATTCTTCTCTTCTGCAGACTAAATAATCCCAGTTCCCTCAGCCCCTCCTCATAAGTAATGTGCTCCAGCCCCCTAATCATTTTTGTTGTCCTCCGCTGGACTCTTTCCAATTTTTCCACATCCTTCTTGTAGTGTGGGGCCCAAAACTGGACACGGTACTCCAGATGAGTCCTCACCAATGCCAAATAGAGGGGAATGATCATGTCCCTCGATTTGCTGGCAATGCTCCTACTTATACAGCCCAAAATGCCATTAGCCTTTTTGGCAACAAAGGCACACTATTGACTCATATCCAGCTTCTCATCCACTGTAACCCCTAGGTCCTTTTCTGCAGAACTGCTGCATAGCCACTCGGTCCCTAGTCTGTAGCGTGCGTGGGATTCTTCTGTCCTAAGTGCAGGACTCTGTACTTGTCCTTGTTGAACCTCATCCGATTTCTTTTGGCCCAATCCTCTAATTTGTCTAGGTAGCCCTCTGTATCCTGTCCCTACCCTCCAGTGTGTCTACCACTCCTCTTAGTTTAGTGTCATCTGCAAATTTGCTGAGAGTGCAATCCACGCCATCTTCCAGATCATTAATGAAGATATTGAACAAAACCAGCCCCAGGACCAACCCTTGGGGCACTCTGCTTGATACTGACTGCCAACTAGACATTTATGCATTGTGAATGCTTTGTGTCCTTATAGCACCTTCTCTTGGTCCAGTTGGATGTAGGTCTGGCAAACAAGTGCCCTGCTTGAACTGCAGATGCCTGGAAGTACTTACACATGTTGTGCCGTACATGGCTGCAGTTTCTTGTTTGGGCCACCTTTTCTGTTTGCTTTGCAATTGTTAATCTGTATCACTTTACTATAAAATAACACCACAGTTTTCTATGGAGCGGTAGACTTGGCAAGTGAGGCAGTAAGGCCTAGAGAAGTGTAATTGGGGGTAGGGGTCAGAAACTCCCATGTAATGGGAGAATCTGTTTGTCACTGAGTTGCTGGGTGGCCTTCAGCAACCTGGCTAAACTTTCTGCCTCAGTTTCCCCATCTGTAAAATGGGGGTACTCAGTGCTCACCTCACAGGTGTGCTGTGAGGATCAGTATTTGTACAGTACTCTAAATGGACAGCTGTTTGTTCTAAGTGTCACTGTTAAAACATGAAGCCACCTTGAAATGTAAAGTACCTCCCAATTATAATAATGTTTTCCCTCCTCCACTCCCCTTAGGGCTCTTAAAGTAGCTTCTGAATGATCCCTGACTTCACAGCATGCATTGTGTTGATAGTATCCCTCACATTACCCTCCTAGGCAGACTCCACTTGTCAATATCCTCACTGGTATGGTGCAAGCTGGAAGGTCTCATGGAGTGGAAAATTTGGGATTGCTTGGAAGCTATTTTGTGGAACCAGACAACCGAAAAAAGGTATTAGAACTGAAAGCTTTCTTGAAATACCCCTAATTGTAGTCAACTCTGCTGCTTGTAAAGACACTGTCATGGTTTGTCAGAGCTGATGCAGATGTGTTTTGTTTTAAGGGATCTTAGTTAACTGAGGTTCCAGAATTTTTGAACACTCCAACTTTGGATACCCCTGGAATTGTCTCTTGGACTCCTTTCATTTGACCTGCCTGACCTTGGCAAGAATACTTGTCAGAAATCCTATGTTGTCTGTCTTTGAAGGCTTAAGTACCATGAAGGGTCCCCATAAGACTCTTAGTGTGGCTATTTAGTGCTCCGTTTGTATCTTATTACAGATGAAGACCTCCTGTGTTCAGCCCCAGTGTCCTGACCAAATTACAACTCAAGCACTTACATTCTTTCTACCTAAATTCTCCCTGTGATTTCAATTGCATAGTTGTTTTGCCTCTTCTCACAAGTGTACTGTTCAATCTTGCTGGCACAGGGCAGTTGCTGGTTCTTGCATTGCTGCCCTAAAGATGGCTGCTTTTTAATGGTGCCCCACGTGATCCCTGTGGGTATGTCTACACAGCAATAAAACACCTGCAGCTGGCCTGTGTCAGCTGACTTGGGCTCAGACTGTGGGACTCTAAAATTGCAATGTAGATGTTCAGGCTACTGGAGTCGGGGCTCTGGAACCCTCCCCCGCATGGGGTCCCAGAGCCCTAGCTCCAGCCTAAGTCTGAATATCTACACTGCAATTGTATAGCCCTGCACCCCGAGCCCCGCAAGCCCAAGTCATCTGACACAGGCCAGCCACGGGTGTTTTATTGATGTGTAGGCATACTATGAGTGTTTTAAGTGCTTTGGTGTAAAAGACTTGATGTACAGTATTTCTAAAATAAGTTTACATCAATGTGAACTTTACCAGAGGGTTCTGGAGAGAATATATAACTCAAGCAAAGCGCTTGCTCTTTAAACCAGCTGCTTATTTAAGTGTCCTGTAGCTCTGAGAAATTAGATGGCAGTTTCTGTTGAGCACTGAGGCGGCAGTGGGGAGGGGGGAAGAGTTAGGGGAGAAGTATTCAAGGACTAGAAGCTGATTGATGCTTTTCCTGAAACCATTTCTGCTTGTGTGTGTGCTCCCTTTCTGTAGGACGGTTATGCAAGTCCAATTTCTTGTGTGCTGGGGCTGCAGCGTTCCCTGCTGCAGAGTCAGACGTGCTCTATAATGGGTTCCCGGTTGGAGCAGAGGTTACAGATAGGTTGTCGCAATGGAAACCATTGGTGCTCCTGATACCTCTTCGCCTTGGGCTCACGGATATCAATGAAGCTTATATTGAAACACTAAAGGTAGGGGAATTAGTGCTGTTTGGCATGGCCATGGGTGAGCTGACTTTCCAGTGTTTTACTGCTGAGAGCCAAGGAATAAGTCTTGATTAGGTCAAGTGTAAAACTGGTTCTGGGGCAAAATGTTCATAAGTGCCCAAGTTCCAGTTGCAAGAGAGACATTGGTGTTTAGGTGCCTAAGTCTCCTTGACAGTCAATGGGACTTAAGAGCCAAAGTGGTTAAGTCACTCTTGAAAATGAGATTTTTAGGTGCTTCTGAAAATTTTACCCATGGTCTAATGTCAGTCCATACCTGTGTCTGTACCCAACCCAAGCCACCAGAGCATTCAGCATGACTGCCAGTCTCTGCTTGGCAGCAGCCTGAGCTTTAAGTGCTGTGTGCTGGAAGTCCACATCTGGCTATGGTGTCAGAGCTGGGTGTGCTGCAAATCAGAACTTAAGTGAACAGAACTCTGGGGTTCCAAACCAGCCCTTGGAGCAGCTGAGGGTGGCAGAAATCAGGTTCTGAGGGGCACTTGTTAACTTTGTGAAGAAGGTTGCACAGTGTCTTGCTCTAACAGTGGTGTCAGTCCCTCAGCTATGTGAGTATGGGCACTCTGAATTCAGGCTGGATACTTGGCCTGAATTCACTGAATTGTGCTTGGATTCAGCAACGTGGATGCTAAATTCTCTCATCCATTTCCCAAGAACATTCGGAACAATGTAATTCCCTTGGGAGTGCCATTGACAAAAGATTTAGGGTAAAATCCTGATACTACTAAAGTCAATGGGAGTTTAGTCATTGACTGAGTGGAGCGAGGGTTTTGCTCAGTTGCTCGTGGAATTTGTGACCATAGTGCAGATTGCACCATGCAATGTCTGGAGTCTCATCTCTTCCTCCTCCTCCTCCTGCCCCTTTAGCTTCTTGGTCTACTTCTCCAGGGCTCTAAGGCTTCTCTGAGCCTCTTTCCCTTGAAGGCTCCATGTTGCAGAATCCTTCCCTCCTGGCAGAGACCTTCTACCATAAACCGTTGCTTCTGCTGCTGGGCTTGCTCACGGTTCAGAAGCCCAGCATGTGCCACTATCACAGTGATTGCCTTTGAGTTTGATTTCTGATTACTTGCTCTAGTTGCTGCTGCCTGCCATCTGCCCATGTTCTCTCTTGCTTTCCAGCACTGCTTCATGATGCCTCAGTCCCTGGGAGTGATTGGAGGGAAACCCAACAGTGCTCATTACTTCATTGGCTATGTAGGTGAGTGACTAACCAGCCTAGCTTTGTGCCATGTTAGGAAGGTGTCCAGTCTATCTTGAGATGTCTGCCCACAGATAGAGGAGTGACTGTGAAGCAGTGCAGCCCTCCCCCAACTCGCCCTCACCTTCCCCAGAGTGTTATTCCCTTTACTTTAGAACAGCTTGAGGGTGCTGTGAGATAAGCCTCCTTGGGAGCGAGGATCCAGGGTGACTGCAGCCATGGGTATAGACTCTCTTACACAAACCCTAAAGTGCTACTCCTTGTGGAACATTCCTCTCATAGAATTAAATTGCAGCAGATGGGTCTGTCTGACCTTGTCCTAGATCCAGAGCTGACTTCCCTTCATGGGTTTGTGTAACTTGTTTACTCTCTCCTCCCTCTTTTCCTTTGTGAGCACCTGTCTGTTTTCCTCTTCCTTCTGTTTTCCAAATCATGAACCGATTATGAAGGGACAAAAGATGTGTTAGTGACCTTTATCCACTCACTCACTCACTCACAAGGTGATCATCTGGTGCAACATACCCTGTTAATTTCTCCTCTATTTGTCCAGGTGAGGAGCTAATTTACTTGGACCCCCATACTACACAACCTGCAATGGAACCCAGTGACAATGGCTGTATCCCTGATGAGAGCTTCCACTGTCAGCACCCCCCCTGCCGAATGAGCATTGCTGAACTTGACCCATCCATCGCAGTGGTGTGTACCTGTGACTTGTTTCTATGCCAGCTGTTGAGAGCTTGACCCTGTCTTTGCAGTCGTGCCACTGTAGCAGTTGGAACCGACTTTTTCAGCCTTCCCTTCTTTTCTGTCTGTTTCCTCTCCCTATAAGTCTGCTGATGCAGATGCTATTTACTTGCCAGTCCTATTGGCAAACTCTTCCATACCCTGACTTAAATTAAAACTTTGGTCAAAAATAACTCTTCTGCATGAAACAATTCAGTACAGGGGAAAAAAATCCTTACACTGCTACATTTACACAGTGACTAATTGCTAAGGGTCTGGCATGCAGTGTGGCAAGTGCTGCAGGCAAGTCCGAAATAAAGTGAATGCATCGACCCATGGAGATCATAAACCGTCCCAGAATTCACTCCAGCCCCAGGGTATAGTGAAGGGTACCTAGAGAGAAGTTGCCTCTTCTGTACCCCTGACTTTATCTGACAGCAGCCTAATAATTCTGAGGTTCTGCCATCTCTGAATTGCAGTCTGGGTTTGCACCCTGCCTTTTGGTGAAGTAGATGACCCAAGCATAGGCGCTGGCTTCGTGGGTGCTCCAGGGCTTTGTGGGTGTTCCAGGGCTGGATCACCCACAGGGGAAAAAAATGGTGGGTGCTGAGCACCCACCGGCAGCTCCTCCCTCTCCCTCCAGTGTCTCCTGCCCGCCAGCAGCCCCACCGATCAGCACTTCCCCCTCCCTCCCAGTGCCTCCTGCCGCTGAGGATCAGCTGTTCCGTGGCATGCGGGAAGCGCTGGAGGGAGGGACAGGAGCGATGGCGGGGCATGCTTGGGAGAGGGAAGAGGCGGGGTGGAGTGGGGATGGGAAGAGGTGGTGTGAGAGTGGGGGTTTAGGGGAAGGGGTGGAGTGGGGCAGGGCCTGGGGCAGAGCCATTAGAAAGTCGGCACCTCTGTACCCAAGTACAATTGTGACACTCTGTTTTCAGGTAAACTTGAAATGTCTGAACTGTGTGTCCAATTGGGCTGGCTCTGTCGCCATGTCACTTCCATCATAGACGATTAGGGTTGGAAGAGACCGCAGGAGGTCATCTAGTCCAACCCCCTGCTCAAAGCAGGACCAATCCCCAACTAAATCATCCCAGCCAGGGCTTTGTCAAGCTGGCCTTAAAAGCCTCGAAGGATAGAGATTCCACCACCTCCCTAGGTAACCCTTTCCAGTGCTTCACCACTCTCCTAGTGAAACAGTGTTTCCTAATATCCAACCTAGACCTCCCCCACTGCAACTTGAGACCATTGCTCCTTGTTCTGTCATCTGCCGCCCAGAGGATTCAGGGGGCCTGGGGTCTTTGGCGGCGGGGGCCCCACGCTGCCGAATTGCCGCCAAAGACCCAGCACTTCGGCGGCGGGTCCTGGAGCGGAAGGACCCCCCGCCGCCGAATTGCTGCTGAAGACCCGGAGTGGAAGAAGCTCCAGGGCCCCGGGCCCCGCGACAGTTTTCCGGGGCCCCCGGAGCAAGTGAAGGACCCTGCTTCAGGGGCCCCGAAACTCTTGTGGGGGCCCCTGTGGGGCCCGGGGCCTGGGGCAAATTGCCCCACTTGCCCCCCTCTGGGCGGCCCTGCTGCCACCACTCAGAACAGCCAAGCTCCATCCTCTTTGGAACCCCCTTTCAGGTAGTTGAAGGCTGCTATCAAATTCCCCCTCACTTTTCTCTTCTGCAGACTAAATAAGCCCAGTTCCCTCAGCCTCTCCTTGTAAGTCATATGCCCCAGTTGAGACCATAGTCAGTGTTTTCAGCATTGGAAGAGACTGGCCTAAGTCCATGAAAAGTAGCCAGTTTTGCTCCATCTGAATTGCAGTTTAAAGTCAGGTGGCTAGAACTACAAAAACATTCTCAAATTTTTGGCTCTGTCACTACATGAAAAGCAGAAACATTTTTATTGGCATAGCCAATGTTCAGAATGTATATTTCATATAATTGCTTGGCATTTCTCAGTGTGCCTTTGATAGGCAGTATCCACACTTTTTGTTTTTATTCTAAGCTAATAAAGATTGTACAAAATTTCTTTTCAGGGCTTTTTCTGCAACACAGAGGAAGACTTTAATAACTGGTGCCAGCAAATCAAAAAGGTTAGTGTTCAGCCATGTCACTGGTAAAGGGCATTGTCTACATTATTTTCCAACTTCTGCAAATGCATCTAGCACACTCTGCAGGGTGACCACCTTTTAAAGCGTACACAACTAGTTGTTAATTAAAACCAAAAAGAACTCAGCCCCACACATTTAACTAGCAAATAGAAATGCAATGCCTGAGAGGTGATCTTCTATGACTTGCCTTGAAGGCAGCAGATTGACCGGTATGGGGGGACTAGCTCAATTATGATCTCTAAGCACCTTACAACCATTCATGTGTGAAGCTCTTCAAGGCTGAAAATAGGAGTTATGACTTTACAAAAAAATTATAATCACTTTTAGAAAAATTAGACAGGTCTGTGAGTGAGATTCGTGTCTTGTCCGGCATGTCACAGGAAGTCTGCCAGAGACTGGGAAAGACCCCTGGTTTCCTCAGTCAGTCCCTGCAGCAGCAGTTTAACAAAGTAGCAATGAGAAAAGGAATTGAAGTGCACCGCAACCTTCTGAAATTGCATAAGGAATTTGGGTGAGCAAAATAGAATTACCCAGCTTGGAACTGTTGAGGACAATGAGGCTAACACCTCTGCTAAAACAGGGCACTGTGGGATCTCTGTGGAACGCAAGGAACACCCTTTGTTTATTTCTTGGAAATATGTGAGAAGGGGGGTTGATGGGAATCTCAGGTCCATATAGTAACCATGCCCCATCCTTGCCTAATTTGAGGTTTGGTGGCTTTAACAGTCTCATGTTGTAGAGATACAGTTAAGCTGTGGTTTGGTTAGTTTGGGCTTAGAAGCTGAACCCTCAGAACTAACTCATTTAGCTTGAAGAATATAACCACTCCCTGATAATGTCTTGAGTATTTCCCAAGGCTAGCCCTGCTGTTTGCCTTGGACGCTGTGAGGCTCTAATTACCCTTCTTGGTGCTTGTGTGTATTTGGTGCTCCTAGGATAGGTCTGCTCTCAATCTCTACACCAGGAAATCTCTACACATGAATTCCCTTTTAAAATAAGTATTCTGCTGTACTGCTCTTCCAGGACCTTTCCTTACCAACTGGGAGGAGGGCCAAAGGCAGCATGGATCCTCTTTGCCATCCCTTGCTGTCTAGTGATAGAAACCAGCTAGCTGAATGCTCCCTTCCAGAAAAGGCAGGGGTTTAAAGGTAGAGAAGAGGAACATTAGTCAGTTTTTCTGTCAGATTGTTCACCTGTCTTCCAGCTCCTGAGTGAAGAGGCTGTCACTATTATCCTTGATTGACAGCATATTTGTGCTAATAGGCTGGCTTCTGTGTTCACTCCACAGCTGTCCTTGCTAAGAGGAGCTCTGCCAATGTTTGAACTGGTAGAACATCAGCCATCACACTTTTCCAGCCCTGATGTTCTGAATCTCACACCAGGTAAGGCCCAGCCATCAGGAATATCTGTGGACAAACATCTCTGTAGTTACCAGGAACTGGATGTGTCTTGTCATTTATACCATGCACTCTTATCTATTTCTCCCTGCTGTGACTCTCAGTTCTATCACTGCCTTCTCACAGTCTCCCTTATCTCACACTCTGTCCATTCCTCCAAGAAAGTTTTTCCTTTCCCTTATTCTTAATCCTTCTCAGTTCAAATTTTCCCTATTTCCCATCTCTTGTTCTTCCCTATAATGTTGGAATGGGCTGTTCACCTTCAGTTCGCCCTCCCCTTACCAATCCATTTTTTTTTCTGCTCATCTTATTACCATGGCCCTCATTAGAATTACTGATGATTGTGATTAATTCAGTCTCACTTTGGTCTTACTGCAATCGTTGTCCTCGAGATATTGGCTGCTTTCCCCCTCATTGCATCAGTTGAGAGTACTTCCCCTTGGGTGTTTTCTGTATAGATACATCCATGCTCTTGCTGCACATGTGGGCCCTCAATCTAGTTGGAACACTGGAAAGCAGTAACCACTGGGCTTTTGCATGTGCTCCCTCATCCAACCAAATGAGCCCCAACCCGGAGCCCTGCCAATTCTTAGCTGACTAGTCTCCTCTGTTCCTGCTGTGCAGTCAGCATTTCACTAGCTGTTGGTTACTCTGGTAAAACCTAAAACACACATTCTTGTTGCATTAGCTAGTGTTGGTCTCTGCTAGGTCCACTCTGTTCCACTTCTTTCCCCTCTCTGAGTTTTCCTCTATGGTCAGCTCCAAATTTGGAGGGTTCAGTTGGCATGTCTGCTGTAATGGTAAAACTATCATAGACCAACACAGCAGCACTGAAGGCAGTGTGTGTGCTGGGCATTCACCAATGCCTGCTCCGTCGGCGTGACCTGCACTCTTCAAATCAGTAGGAAACATGACTCTGCATCAGTGTCACCTCCCTGCTAGAGCTGGCCTCAGCTGAGTCAGTAACATCTGGGTTGTGGTGTTGCCCTTTCCTAGTGTTCTGGATCAAAGGCATTAATAAAAGGAAATGTTCCTTCAATTCGTTTTGGGATGTGTGACATCTCCCAATACTAGTAACAGAGGATTGAGTATGGTCCATATAAAGCTTCAAGACAGCACTGGTCCACTCTTTCCAAAAATATAGTTGAACCAAGCCTCTCTTTAATCAGAACTCTCTATATAGTGTACAACATATATATTTATGGGTATATAGAGTCTGTGCATTTGACACTTCTACATACAGCCTCCAGACTTTAGAACACAAGGTTGTGCCACATTAAGGCTGTGACACAAACTATCCAGTGCTGAGGAACATACCATTTAGGGATAGCTGATGTATCCTGTGCCACACATAGTGTAGGTGTAATGTGGATTGTCCATTGTTACTTGCTATTAAAGCATGGTCTGTCCTCTTCTCTCCCTCCCCACAAATCCCTCAGCCAGTCATGCCCCCCTCTTCCTCTCATACAGCTTGGGCTGGTGAGTGGCTTTGGTGTAAATCTGTTTTAAGCAATGGGCACATTAAACAGAGGTGGTTTTGTCTCTTGTCTTTCAGACTCTTCTGATGCAGACAGGTTGGAAAGATTCTTTGACTCGGAGGATGAAGACTTTGAAATCTTATCTCTTTGAAAATAGATAGGAAACTGACTGCACGTCTATGTTGTGGGGTGGGGTGGGGTGGGGGGAAGAAGTTCCTTCAAGCACATGGGCCCTTACTGGTTTTCATAGGTGCTTGGTGACCTCCCTGCCTCCCATCCATCCCAGCATTCTGTGCAGTCTCAAGCACAGTGTGCACTGTCTGCATTGGGATCAAGAAACAAGTCATCATTAAGGCTTCAGTGGCCAGAGTCAGGATTTCTCAGCGCAAAACACGTGCAAGAAGTGGATGCAGTGGTGCCAAGGAGTTCAAAGTTTTGTTTGTTGCAGCAGCAGCAGCTCAGCTGCCCCTACAAGAGTAACAGCAGAAATCCCCCATGGAGCTAAACCCTTATGAGTATTTCCCAGTGATATTTAATCAGAGCTATTCCTCTTTTGGGGGGTCAAAACCTATACTGTTGCTAGTTCCTTCCACAGCTTTCCTGCTTATGGCTGACTTGGGCTAAACTTAGATTTATGGAAAGCAATGTAAATTAATATCAGGCATATCCCATATGGAGCCTCCAGCCCAGTAGTATGTGAGCTAGTCACTTGGATGGTCACGTTTTCCATAGTAATAGGCCACACGCTGCTGCTCATGTTTAATAATAGTTGCAGTGCTTTCTCACAAAAAACAGTGCTATCTGTCTTCACTGTACCTAGAAGCTGCCTGCTCTTATAAAGGGCAACCTTCTCTCAGAGGTGAAGCACTTCCTCTCTGGACATTACCCTGAGGTTTTCCACAAGGTCTGAAGATGACAACCAAAAGGGGAGGAGAATCCCAGTTTAAATAAAAGGAGGAAGGAAGAAAATTATGTATGTGAGGGCCATAGTCTCATGGCTGAGTCATCGAAACACCAAGGCTCTGAAAAAGATGGATTGACAAATACAGCAGTGAGGTGTCTTCATTAAAGTGTCTGTTAAGAGAGCTAGACAGAGTCCTGTGAGAGGTTGAGATGTTTATAAATCTTAAGAGCCTGATATTGCTTTTAGTTAAAAATGATTGAGGGGGGCCTGAGGCAGAACAGGAAGACTGAGAATTTACCATGTCCTTTCTCATACCTAAACCCTTTCCTGACTCCATACGGTGCCTGGTGTTGGTATGTAAGGTTTCACCTTTGTGAATTAGTCCTTAACCCAACAGTTTTTGGTGCCACAAAGCATCCTGTGTAGCACCACTCCTCCTGGGTAGATTGAATAGTTCCAGCTACTGCTCCCATTTGACTCTGTGCTTTCAAAATGATGTATAAGGGGGCTTGAAATTTAATTGGACATAGAATATATGTTTGGTACCATTTCAGATACTATTCTGCAGCTTCCCTCTATATGATCCTTCTAGCACAGTGTGGCAAATGCATACTGTAGAAGCTAGGCCAAAGAAACCTATTTTAAGTGATCATCTGAAGAGGTCAGGAAAAAACTGGTTGCCTAGAAAAGTTGATAGTTAAATATCAAACACAACTGTACTGGAAACCTTGGAGTTACTTTAATAACTTTACATGATCTTGCCTGTGGCCCATAATATCTATTTAGTAAAAATGAGCTGGATCAAAACCAGATGTATAGGAGAACTGTGTCCTGGTGTGAGCCACCATAGAAGTGAAGTCTTCTCCTTTCTCCAGGACTTCTGCAGATGGCAAATTCATGTTTGCAATGCATTTGGGAACAGCACTTGTCAGTTGATGCTTTTGTGCCCAGAAGGTACATAAACGCTCTCCTCCATGACAAGGCTGACTGACATAGTGATGCTAATCTTATTATCTACCCTTAATCTCCCAGAGATTTTAACTCTTGAGCCATGATGCTTCTGTCACTAAATTACTTGCTGCTTTCTCTCTGCTGCTGTTCCTCCTCATCTCTTGCATTAATTTTAAGGGGGGGGCGGGGAGATAGTGGAGGAAGTGGGGCTGTGCTCCATTCATCAACTGCTTTCAATTTGTATCTGAATAAACAAACTTAAAATCTTTGGGGGTTTTTAGTACTTATTTCTGAGGAGCAGCCCATGCTGTTAGGGATGGGGGGAGGTGTATTTTACCCTTTACTCCTTGTCCACAGATGCTTATGCCATAGTATGGAAAACCATCTTGAAGCAGTTCTAGGGCATCTAGTTTTAACCAGGCTTTGGGTGGCAAAGGTGGATGTGGCTAACCTGTTAAGAGAATTCAGGTGATGCAAAGGGTGTCTGATAGTCCACAGTGGATGCTTGGAACTGGAGCTAGGCCTAACTAAGCTAAGCCGCCATGCCTCAATGTAGTTGAGTCCTGGACCAGTTGGCTTGAATCCTTCTGTCAGGCTCAAGATAACTGAGCAATTTCCTGTATGCTTGCTTGGAAAGGTTATTTTTGTTTTGTTTTTTGTTTTTTAAAAGGGATGGGGTGAAAGAGACAGGAGAACACTAGTGCACTCTTCTCAACCTCAGGAGTCCCCTTCCCTTATTGCAGTGCTAATGCCAGTCTCTTTCCCTCCCAAAGTTATTGCAAGCTCCTGTAGGAATATAGGGCCTAGTCCTGGACTGCTAAAGCTTCTTAAAGAGAAACAAGTTGGTGAAAAATTCACCATCCTCCAGTAAATGTTAAAGACAGATAATTAACATGGGAAAGATGAAAGCATCCAGTGTAAGGACAAAATAATGACCAGTTTATGTGCTTTTAAACTGCTCCAACACATGCGTTGCTTTCCTAAACACCTGCCACTATGCTTATTTGCAGTACCAACAGCAAAGCTAGACTGTCAGCTACAGTCAGGATCCCATGTGTGCTAGCTATAGAACTGTTCTAGAATGTTTTCATTTATAAAAATTAGGTTGCTAGCCCTCATGCCTACAAAGATAACTTTAAAAATATGAAGTGTCAAAACTAGTTAGATATGAAGTTTCCCATGTATCTCTCTAGGTATTTAACTTTGAAGCCTAAAGATGACAATATCAGCCCTTGACTATTTTACTGCTAATGATGATAGAGCTGCTCTTCCCTTTAAAAGGGATCCCTGTCAGCATCTGAATCCAGCTATGAGAGTGAGGGATATGAAATCATTTTTTTTCAGCTAGGTTTGTGTAGAGTCAGGCTGAAGAAGTACTGCTCCTATTTTGCAGACAGGAAACTAAGGCAGAGAACAATAAAGTAACATGCCTGAGGTCACACTAAGTTTGCAGAAGGGCTGGGACCCTAGGTCTCTGCTTCTCAGTCCTGTACCTTGGCCACATAGGCCCTCCTTTCTCAACAAACTTTATGGTAAAAATAAGTCTTCTGCAGCAGTTACTCTCAATGACACATAGCTAAATTAAAGTCTGTTTATAACAGTTATCAAAAAGAAGTCTGCAATAGCCTCATACTTAAAGAAACAGTTCCAGTAAAACAAGAGTTTACCCAATTTCTTTCCATCATATTGGCTCTTGTTAGCATAGCTTCATCTAAACTTTAGAACTCCATAGCTGAATTTCTGTCTGTGCTAATCCAAGGAGTTCAACCCTATTTTCCAGCTAGCAGAAGGGAAATCTTTAGTGACAGACATAACTAAGAGCTGCAGCTCACCTTGGAAACAGCTCACCTCATTTGATGTATGTTAAACTAGTGTTAACCTATCAAAAAGCCAACAGTTGTTTAATAGAAATGCAACATAAAATATAAACTGCTGACTGACATTTTTTTTAAAGTGACCCCATAGATAGAAATTAAAACCCTGCCAACATTTTAATTTTACATCCAATCAAGCCTCCTGCTTGATGTAAGAACACAGACAACGCTATTCTAGAACTATCACCATGAAATCTGGTTTCAGCCAGGAAAGAGCTGAGAGTCAGGTAAGACCACAGTCCCTAGCAGGTGTGACATGGTGGGATATGCTGGGACATTACCACAAAACAAGGTCCAGCAACTGGACATCAGGATCCATAAAACAAGAAAGCCTAACTAAGTTGCTGACACATTATCCTGGCTATGTGAGGAACTCAACTCAGTTTAAAAATAATTATAGTTTCAGTGTGCAGCTCACCTTTCAAACCAGTCCCATGCTATAGCAACCTATCTAGCCAAGGTTCTTACTGACAAGCTCATCTGAGCACCTCACAATCGCTAATGTATTTATCCTCACAACAACCCTATGAAATAGGAGTGATAGGGAGGTACTAGTTTATAGCTGGGGAACTGAGGCCCAGAGACACTAATTGACTTGGTCCCAATGAAAGTCTATAGCAGAGCAGGAAATTGAACTTAGGTGTCCCACATCTCAGGCTGGTGTTTGAAACACTAGATCACCTTTCATCTAAGGAAGTGTACAGGCTTGGGTTGATACTTTTCCAAAAGTGATTTCAAACCAGCTTACTTAAATATTTGTTGCTGTCACAAAAAAGGACACTAAAATAAAAGGCACTAATTTATTAGCAAGACTTCCACAAATTAAGAGTTTGAGTTAGTATGTTTAATAAGTTATGGGAAGGGGAATCCCACAGGCATATGATTATGAAAAATGACAGTTCTCTAAGTACAAATGTAGAAAAACCCCTTTCCCCTTCTCTTGATTCACAACCCGATCTCCCCCACCTCAAGTCCCACTACCATAACTCATTGTGGTAATTAGCCAAAAGTTCCACTTACAATTACTTGTTTTATACATTTTGTCATTGCTCTTGCACAAGGTTTGTACCTGGCTTATAGGAAGATTTACAATAAAGTCTGCATTTATAAAATACATCAGGAAGATGGCTTGTAAGAGCCAATTTACAGAGGAGGAGTTAGATAAAACCAGAGGTCTCCAAAGTATTTTTGGTCTATAAAAACAATGCTCTGTGATCTAAACTGCAGCTATTAAAGGTGAAGGAGTCTGTGAGGAAGATCTGAGAGATGCCAGTTCCCCTTCAATCAGATCTGGAGCAGAATATGCTGCAGGAAGAGGGTGGAGTAAAAGCCAATTCTATTTCCAGAGTGCTCCTATGGGCTTATTCTGAACCTCCTGCATAGCCTCCTCAGTGAAAGACTTAATTTCATTATGCAACTCTTCAATGCTCTTCGAAGCATCAATTGTCTGTTTCCAAAATAAAAGCATTACATTTAAAACATTTCTCAGTGCCCAACGCTTTCATTAGAGGAGAAAATAAGACAGTAGATCCAGACCACAGAAATGCAGGTCACCAACTGCATGAATGGGAAGTCAGGTTTTCAGTGCAGTTGTACATAAATTCTGTATTTTTAAAAATGTGGTTAATTAACAGTAGTTTAATATCTGCTGAAGTGATCACTTACTTTCTTGATCTAGTTTTATATCAAGCTTGATATCTTATTGTTCTAGTCATTCAAAGGGCGAGTTGCAATTCCTGCATCCTACCTATATGAGAAGGTCAAGATGGCATCTCCCTGTGACTGTGCTACATTGTAGCAGTTTGGTCTTCACTGTTTAATTTCAAGGATTAGAAAACCCTTTATATTATACAACAGTTTTTCTTTGAAGGGGGCTCCAAAGGATAAGTCTTGAGAAGTTTAGTTTTAATTCACTGACCCATCTAGAGCCTTCCTGGAAGGTAATTCCCTTACCTTCCAGTTTAAAGTCTTGTCCTTTATCAGATGGTGGTAGTTCTGTAGAACTTTCTCCTGGAAGGAGCTGTTCTCATAGCGTTCATTTCCAAAGTCCCCTCGTTTTGCTGCCTCCAACGTGCTCAACTGAAGAAATAGGATCAAATCTGGCTTTGGAAGCCCTACATCAGGCTGTTTGCACCAATCCAAGGAGAAATTCTGTCCAAAGTGAGAAGGAGAAATAAATCAGAGGTGGAAGAAAAAAATCAATGAAAATGAGAGAGCAGATCAACAACAGACCAGCAGGAAAAAGAGTTGGGGAAAATGAACATCCACTGAAGAACTACTAACAAGTGGACCAGATTCTCATTTGGTGTAAATCTATGTAGCTCCATTGACTTCAAAGGAGCTATGCCAATTTACACCAGCTGACAATAGCCCAGTTTATGTATACTAGAAAAGACACCCCAAATACTTATGGCCTGATCTTCAGAGGTGCTGTGCACCTATAGCTCTCACTGAAGTCAACATGAACTACAGGTGCTTAGCACCTTGGCACATGAGATTACAGACATTTAAACACTGAGTCACTTTTTCAAATAATTAGAATCATAGAATATCAGGGTTGGAAGGGACCTCAGGAGGTCATCTAGTCCAACCCCCTGCTCAAAGCAGGACCGATCCCTAAATGGCCTCTCAAGGATTGAACTCACAACCCTGGGTGTAGCAGGTCAATGCTCAAACCACTGAGAAAGAGAAGGGCTACATGGAGGATCATAGTGAGCCTGTGAGGCTAGTGAAATCTGCCAGGAAACGCGGGACCCACAGAGACAAGGACAGAGCTTTGTCACAACTGGTTTCAGGAGCGGGATCATCTTTCACAGCGTGGTGGAAGAGAGGTTAAAAAAATGTGCACTGGGGTTTTGGATTTTTGTTTGTTTGTTTGCTTTGTACCACAATGGAGGAGGTGGTAAGAGCTCTGGTACAAGCCATGGCAGCCCAGCAGCAGGCCACCCGGGTTCAGGCAATGGTGCAACAGGAGTCTATGCGGCTACAGCAGGAAACCATTCAATTATTAATGGGTCAGGCGACCCAAGATCATGCCCTCTTGCGAGAGGTAGTGGGCCAGCTGAAGATCCTCACCACCCAGGCCCGGGGGTCCGACAGAACACGAACCCTGAGGGCCACTGGTTGTCTGCCAAAGATGAAATTGGAAGTTGACGTACAAGCATATCTCCTCTCATTCAAAAGAACTGCTCAGCGTGAGATGTGGCCCCAGGAGCAGAGGACCAGCATTCTTGCCCCATTTTTGTGCAGAGAGGCCCAGTAGGCCTACTTTGACTTGCCTGCCATGGACGCCACTGACTATACCCGGCTGAAGGCAGAGATCCTAGCACAATCAGGGGTGTCGGCAGCGGTACGGGCCCAGAGGTCCAGTGAGTGGAAGTATCAGGAGAACAAACCCCTGAGGTCCCAGCTATTCGACCTCATACACCTCACGCAGAAGTGGTTACAGCCCACGGTGTGCAGCCCAGAGGAGATTTTGGAGACCCTGGTCATGGATCATTACATGCAAGGACTGCCAGCAGATCTCCACAAATGGGTAGGCCAGAACGATCCATCCACCTATGATGAGATGATCACGCTGGTAGAAAGATGCATGACAGCCAGGGAATTGACCCAACTACCCAAGGAAGGTCCCTTTCAAAGTAAGCATCAGAACCAACCCTGGAAGGTTGGGGAGCCAAACCCCTGGGGAGTCCTAGGTGGAAGAAGGGGGGGCCAAAAACCAGCAGGGACCCCAGAAGGAAGGGATTGGCCTGAGTGGGGGGAACCCTGGGACTAAACCCCCTAACTCCCGTGATAGGGGAATGATTAGAAGCAATTACACTGGTCTACAATTTTTGAGAAGTCGTCTGCTTCAGAGAGAAAATGTGCTATTATGTATTTTGATGTGCTGAATCCAAATATGAATTAAAACAACTGATTGGCTACTGTTTCTAAGATATTTAAGTTTTTACATTTTATGTCTATGTATACTGTGTAGATAGAGTTTTAATTATAAATTGTAAACCTAGGTCTTTTCATGTGTTTATGGTTGCTTTACATGATATTTCACCTGTCCTGTTTATGTAACCCTTTAAAAATCAGCAAAAGGGTTATATAAATAACATTTATTATGAAACAAAAGGTAAAAAACTATTCTGTACATAGTTTAGTCCTATTCAGTGTCTACTCGGCGCTTCTTGGCTTGTCTCTTGTATTCATTAAATGGAGCATCTCTTGTCATTGTCCAGCAATATTCTGCAAGCATGGATGGGCTCCATTTCCCTGATAGCGTTTCTCCATTTTTGCAATGTCCTGGTGAAATCGCTCGCTGTGCTCGTCGCTCACTGCTCCGCAGTTTGGTGGAAAAAAATCTAGATGAGAGTGCAAAAAATGTATCTTTAGTGACATGTTGCAACCAAGGCTTTTGTATGCCTTGAGGAGGTTTTCCACCAACAACCTGTAGTTGTCTGCCTTATTGTTTCCGAGAAAATTTATTGCCACTAACTGGAAGGCTTTCCATGCTGTCTTTTCCTTGCCACCCAGTGTAGATGCAAGGTCCTCAGATCCTAGAAATAGTAATATCT